TTATTGAAAGGAATGGAACATGTTAAGATGTTGCAACTGTGAATTACCTTGAGCTAGTAGTTCCTAAGGTGTCCGACCAACGCCACATACTGCTGTTTCTCTTGAAAATACATTTAAAATATCAGCGGTGAGTTGGCTGGGGCCGCAGAGGGCCTTGGCACACTGTGGCCCTAAATAAACCCTTTTACATCTATTATCACCTCATTTAACCCTTAACAACCCCATCAGGTAGGCCTGTCGTCATCCACACTTTCTAGATGGAGAACTTAAGCAACATGCCCAACAGCACATAGTTTGTGACTGGCACAGTCAGGATTTGAACTCAAGTGGTTTGACTCCCCAGCCCACACTCCTAACCTCAGATATGCTGAATCTCCTGACAGTTATATCTTAAAATCTAACCTGACTTATCTTCTCCGAAACCAGCCATCCTTCTTGCTTGTCTATTTTTGTTCCAGTCCTGGTCATAGGACCCAAAGTAGAAAGGGCACACAGAGGCTTTCAGCATTCCTACCAGTTGGCTTTCCCATCTCTGCTCGCTGTAGTTGGGGGAACGCTATTCCTGAAGCCTTCCTTTCTATCTTTTGGTGGACTTTTAGATAGTTCTTTTTTACTGAAACAAAACCAAGGGAAGGATTTTTTTTTTTAAACTCCACAGAATGGGGCACCTAGGTGGCTCAGTTGGTTAAGTGTTTGACTCTTGATTTTGGCTCAGGTCATGATCTCGGGGTCATGAGATTGAGCCCCGCATTGGGCTCCGCGCTGGGCATGGAGCCTGCTTGAGATTCTCCCTCTCGCTCTGCACCAACCCCCAACCCCTGCTTGTGCATACGCGTGTGTGCCTGCTCTAAAAAAACCCAAAAACCAAAAAACAAACTCCACAGGAAATTTTTATGCATAGGTCAGGTTTTAAAAAACATGGTATATGTCCCATAAATACTTGTTGGATAAATAAATGATTACATTCCGAGTATGACTACCTCAGGTTTGGACAGTCATGATCAAATACTGATTCCTAGTAAAATTTTTGCTATAAATCAAAGTACCTTTTTTTTACTAGCAATTGCTAGCTACATGGGGGAATTATAAGTAAGTCCCGCACTGGAGGAGATTATAATTTTATTTTCCAAGGTGCCCAGGTTCAAAACCTTAAGGGCCATTTTTTTTTTTTTTTTTAAGATTTTATTTATTTATTTGAGACAGAGAGAGAGAGAGCGTACAAGCGGGGAGGAATGGCAGAGGGAGAGGGAGAAGCAGACTCCTTGCTGAGCAGGGAGCCCGATGCTGAGCAGGGAGCCCGATGCGGGGCTCGATCCCATCCTGGGATCACGACCTGAGCTGAAGGCAGATGCTCAACCGATGAGCCACCCAGGCGCCCCTTTAAGGGCCATTTTTATACTCATTTATGCTTCTGCTTTCCCAGACCTAAGCCCTACTGCCAGATCTTGTCAGTTTTTCCTTCAGAGCCTCTCCTGAATGTCTCTTCAGCTGTTCCTATCAGGCTTTTATAGTACTCAAAACCTCAGACTGTAATAAGCTCCTGGGTGGTCTGTTACAATCTCTTCTCAGTCTCACCCATCCGCTGCAGTGCTATTATTTTATTCTTAAACGATTACTGAAAGCACATCTACTAAGTCCTGCTCATAAGCCCAGAGTGCCTGCTGCCAAATCCTTAATTCAAGATTCTTTGCAATTTGCACCTGACCTACCTTTTCAATACTTATGTTTGTACCCATATATTCATTCATTTGACATCTATCACAAAATGCCGACCAAGGACATTGAGGAGTTGAAGATAATAGTAAGGTGACTAAAACTGTCCCTAAGGAGCTTATAGTCTTTAATAGAGGAAATGGAATATGCACAAAGAAAACTCCAGCATAAGGGACAGTAAGTGCAGTGACTTCCCACAGCAAGGTGTTATGGGAAGTCAGAAGTTAATTCTGACTGGAGGGTCAAGATGTCTTGGAAGAGGTGGCATTTGATTAGGTCTTGAATGGAAGGCAGAGCTTCAGTAGACGAAGAAGAACAAAGAAGATCACTATAAAAAACAAGCAAAGGAAGAGGTAAGACTGTAAGGGCTAAGTTTGGTTTCCAAACAGTGTGTGTAACACAGACTAAGAGGTAGAGCGAGAAGGGAGGTTTAGGGCTAAATCCCAGACAATTATGAATGCTTGACTAAGGGTTTGGACTTTGATATTTATTCATTCAACAAGTATTTATGGACTAACTACGACAGGCCAGCCTGTGGGTTCAGTGCTAGGGATGAGGTGGAGAGCATGACAGACATGATTCTGGTCTTCTCGGAGCTTACGCTCTAACGTGAAAGAGGTAAGGATCCACCGAAGATGCTGAACCAGAGGACTGTCCACATCAAAGTCGTACTTAAGAACATTCTGGCATCAATGTACACTAATTACATTGGGGAAGAAACAGAAAGGAGGCCATTTATGACATTAAATACAGGGAGGGATGAGGCCCAAGGTGGGGGAGTAGTAATGGAGGACACAAAGACGTGGAAGTTATGAAGGAGGAAGAATATCAGGCTCAACACTTGAGTGGACATAGAGGAGAGGGAAAGCAGGGAGGAGGGAGATGTCAAAATGAGCTGTAAGACTGGGAAAAAATCAGAACAGTGAGGACTGACTGGGAAGGGGTATGAGAATGCTATTTCGGATGATGGTGCTGTCTATATCCTGACAGAGGTTTGGTCACACAGGTATGTGCAACTGTCAAAACTCGCCCAAATGGTAAACATGTGTACACTTGTGCATAAGTAAATTCTACCAAAACAAAAAACAAACCCTGAAAACAAATACTGAACTTAAGTTAATGATTTGCAAGCTGAAGTGTTTAGGGGTGAAGTGTATGATATCTATAATTCACTTCAAAATACATTATAAAAGATGGATTGATGGATGGACAGATGTGTGATAAAGCAAACAGCAAAACAGTAATTATAGAATCTCATTGGGTGGCATATGGTGTTCACTGTACGATTTCAAAGCTTTTTGTTTGAAAAATTTCATAATGAAGTGTTGAGAAAAATGATTATAAGCATACAGTTTTGAGTTTGGGCTGACTAGAAGGACATGAGGGACATAGAAGCAGATGGAGGAGGAGATGCAGGTTCGGGAGGCTGGATGATGAGCTTATTAATCAGTGACACAAGGGTCTGAGGAATCCAAGGCATTAAGGGGGAAATATTTATCAAGCAGTTAGAAACGCAGGACTAGAGTTCACTTGTTCTGCTGTGCTACTTCCTAAACATCTTTCTGCCTTCTTGTATTCCCTTCCAGTGAAATCCTTTTTCTTCTTAAGCTTTCTCTGACTACCCTGTCCTCCTGCATTCAGCACTATAAGATTAGTTCATGGCATTATCATATATTAATAGAATGGAAGTTCTCCGGATAAAAAGAATCTTACACAGAATATATATGATTTCATGAAGCAATTTTCAAATAAATAAATGAATAAAACCTGACCTAGTATTTGACTATCCAGTTCTTTATGCTCACACTCATTCTCGGCTGAGGAGGTATAGTTTTGTTTTTAATTTCTGAGATATACATACTTAAAGGGCACTCTTTGGGGGGCCTGGGGGGCTCAGTCAGTGAAGCGTCCGCCTCTTGGTCTTGGCTTAGGTCATGATCTTAGGGTTGCTGAGATCGAGCCCCTCGTCAGTCAGACAGAGCACCAGAGCCTGCTTAGAGTTTCTCTCTCCTCCTCCCTCTACCCCCTGTGTGTGCACGGGCACACGCGTGCATGCCCGCTCTCTCTCAAGTAAATAAATCTTAAAAAAAAAACCACTCTTTGCAGTGGGAAACATGACTTGAACCTCAATTACAGACTGAAGTGCAACTGCCATTCCCAAATTCTTTTTTTTTTTTTTTTTAAAGATTTTATTTATTTAATTGACAGAGAGAGAGAGACAGCGAGAGAGGGAACACAAGCAGGGGGAGGGTCAGAGGGAGAAGCAGTCTTCCCGCGGAGCGGGGAGCCCGAAGTGGGGCTCGATCCCAGGACCCTGAGATCATGACCTGAGCCGAAGGCAGTCGCTTAACCAACTGAGCCACCCAGGCGCCCCCATTCCCAAATTCTTAATACACTTGACTTTCTCCTTCTTCATAGCTCCTCTTTCAGACTTCATCTGACATTTCATTTTGCAGAACTCTAAACATGGGAAGAAAATGGTTGTCCTTAGGTGGTGAAACTAACCTTTTTGACCTTTTTCTTTCCACGACTCTGAATTTCTAAATTTCTATAAAATTAATATATTACTTTGATAGCAGGGGGGAAAAAAGCTTATTTTTTACAGAAAACCTTTAATGACATAGTCGTCAGCCCCTAAAGTACAACTGCTAGAAGATTTCTCGAGTTGCAGGAAAAGAAGTTAAACCAAGGTGGCTGATTTCTCCTTCTTACCTTCTCAGCAATCAGCGTGCTCCCTAAGGTCAGGAGCTATGTCCTGCTCAGCTCTGCACCTCTCTCCACCCACTGGAGCACTGGGCCCAGCAAACAGTAAGCACCCACATAGTGAAAGAACACACATTTGACACTAAAAATACCAGAAAGTGGCCCACGAAGGGTAGTGGAAAGCCATTAGCTTATCCCATGAACTTGGTCATTATTTTCCTAATTTTGAAGATCTGTTTCTCAGAAGGAACTCAGAATACCTCTTCGTCTCTCTCAATTGCCCCAGGCAGACAGTGCTGCTCAGTGAAAGAAACCAGGTTTGGATCCCGTGAATTCCAAGTTCAACGGTATCCCTAAGCCTACGCTTGGCACAACGGGAGAACAACTCTATTAAGAAAACCCAGGAAAAATTACGATTGCTCCTGTTTTTGCACCAGAGAGACTCGGCCACTGGCCATATTTTACCTCCTGTCATCCCATCAGATTGGCCTCACCACGCTCCCCGCCGTTCACCTCAGCTGCCTAATTCCAAGTCTGCTTACTACTATCATCTCTTACCACCACACTTTAAAAAAATGGTTTACCTTTTCTCCTCTGTCTCTTTCTCTGTCTTTCTCCTCTTTTTTCTTTTTTTTCTCACTATGCCCGTCTGTATGGAGGCTGGGCAGTGGCTGGGCAGGGGCAGCAGCTCCAGTGTGGGGGACACTGGGAGGAGGGCCAGGTGCCACCGCGACCTCTCCCACGGTGGCAGCTGCAAGGCCTGAACTTCTCTTGGACTTGGAGTGCCGCTTCTCTTTATGCTTCTCCTTGTCCTTCTTCTTTTTGCTCTTCTTGGACTTCTTTTTCTTCTTGACTTCCCGGTAAGAGTCGTCGATGACTAACTCCCCAGCCTCTAGCTCCCCACCAGAGGACGAGTCCGATTCAACTAGAATAGGTTCAAGTCCTGAAAGATCAAGGTTAGCACTGTGGGATTCTGGGAACTGGGAGCCATCTGCCCCACAGGCTTCGGGGCCGGGAGAGGAATGTGGGTCTGAGGAGGACTTGTGCTTCTTCCGGGCTGTTTTCAGAAAGCTCTGTAACTCGTGACCTAGGAATAAAGCACCTTGCTCATCCCGAGCTGATTTCTTAGAGGATTTTTTCACAGTCGCTTGCTGAGAGGGGTACTGAAAAGGCTCCTCATCAACCGAGCTGCTTCCCTTCTCCTTTGGTGAGAGAATCAGTTTCATCTTTAAGCCATCAGGCTCGCGGAGGGTCAGTGTCTCTGTATTCACATAGAGCGGTTTCATTTTTTTTGATTTGTGGGAACCACCATCCTCCAGGGACAGCTCCCCACTGCTTCCGCTTACTTTCTTCCTGTGGTGTTCCTTTTTACTCTCTGAATGACTTGAAGAACTAGAGGATTTCTCCCCTGTCTTTTTGGAGGGCTTGGAGCCTGTGGCCAATGGGGAAGTGATGGCTTTCAACAGGTCCATGGCTGTATCGGTAGACTGCGGGCCGGACTTTTTCTTTTTCTTCTGTGACGATTCCAAAGACGAAAGGTCTGGAAATAATCAAAAGAAGTAATGTCCACACAACAAACCAACTTCCAACAAGTTTCCTCTCGCACCAAAAAACACTCAACTAACATGAGGAAGAGGCTCAGAGAAATGATTTGAGGGGAGGCCCTTCCACTGATTCCTGATGACGCCCGTGTGCTTCTTGGCTCGGTAAATGCTCCCTGACCCTGGACACAGTTCTTGCCACTAAAGTTGCTTCTCTTCACTGAGTCTTCACAGTAACCAGAGAGGGTAGACCCAGAAGAACGGACTAAGCTGTGGGATTACGAGCAGTTACAATTTAGGTTACACTGTAGACAGAGTGTCATTTGCTTCTGTGTTCAGGACAAGCCCATTCTAGTAAAGGGTTAGTCTCATCAGCTATGCGCATAAGAGAGCTAAGAAAAACTGGTCTTGTGAGTGGCTATGCACTGGACTGAGAAGTAACCCACAGGTGCAGGCCAGAGGGCCCAGGACTACATATGGCAAAAGGGATGCTAGGTAACAATGGGCAGAAGATAAGTGGATGATTGGGGGGAGAAGGAACCTGGTACCTGGTGTATCACAAATGAAGACTGTTCTTCTATGCTGAATCCTCCAAAATACCAGCCCTCCACCTCTCTCCTCCTTCACACTGGTTTATCGGCACTCAGAACAAGAACCACTGTCCTGTTAAATAGGCCACTGAGTCAGCAACATCTGGATCCCTTTCCCCTACCCCGACTCCAAGAACCAGTGATGTGTTCATCCCACCTGCTGCCCTTTCCCCTCCTTACCTCCATAGTAGTAATCATCAGAGGAGTGCTTCCTCTTCTTCTTGTGCGTGTCCGTCCCCAAGAAATAAAGCTCACTATCCTGGAATTGAAGAGGAAGAAGAATTGACCACTGAATAAGATGATGAGGCAAAAGCAGTTTGGAACCAATTTTGTTCTCTGATTTCTGACTTTGGAAAACAAAGTAAAACACAGGAAATATTAAAAATAGACAGCGAACGATGTTTATTTTTTTAAAGTTTTAAAAATATGCTTCTTTCTTCAAGTACTAGGAAACAGGACGTGAGATGGTTAAAAACTTTCCTAATTCACATGTTTAGAATTTACCTTTAACTTCTTCTTGGAAGAATTTCTGACCTGAGCAGCGATTTCTTCCTCTTCCCTTAAAAAATCTTTGTAAGAACGTTTCTTTTCTCGTTGGCTTCGGCCAGCGGCTAGTCCTGTATCCTCAGAGCTGTGATCACCATCAAAGCAATCTGAAAGCCAGGTTCGTTTGGGAAAGGGAAGGGGAAAGGCAAGTAAGTGACAACCAAATCACCACATATGTAATGCAACAGTCCCTCCATTTCCAAGTTAAAATAATGTTTCAACAAGTCCATTGGAATATAGGGCTAGATCCAGGGGGACAAGAGTATTTCTTGATGACCTGGCTGCAAATACAAGAACCAAACCTGAAGAAACAATGCTTCCACGCTATGCAAAGGCCCAGTGTGCATCCTCAGACATGGTTTCTTAGTTGTGATTTGGCAGGTGGACACAGACTTGCAGAGGTAAGGCTGAAAAGAATAAGGATTCACGTGCTGTGCTGCTCTGTGGGAGTCCAAAATGTGATTCCTATCCCCAGACTCCTGCACACTGGAGCTGGCAAGGACCACGAGTGCTGCAGGGGATCACCCCAATAGACTACAGAGACTTATATTTCAGACTCTCATGTTGGAACCCTGTCCTGGTTTTCGCTTCCATGGGCCCAGTCTGGGGATGATGTGGAGGCTGAGTGTCATAATACTGCTCTAGGCCATCACTTGGGAGTCCAGGCTGTGATGGCCAGTCCTGGTCTCTGTGTCCACGGGCTGCAAGGATTGAAGAGGAAACCCCCTTTAGAATGCTTCTCAGAATAAGGGGTCATACCTTCTTTCTTCACGGAGTCATCATAAGCCATGGCGGTCCTGCAGGGCCTTTGTGAATGTGTCACTGTGTCCAGGCTCCTTCCCGTCTACAGGACCAGGTCTGAGAAACAAAGAAGGAAAACCCTCCTGTAATGCGAAATCACTGTGGAGAAGCAACCTTCCAGATGGAAATGCGTAGTGATCCAAGGGCAGGCTGGAAGGGCAGCAAGAAATAAAGGAGTGTCTTGTCACCTCCTCATTCTGTTTGCAAATATACTGGGGTTGAAACTGTAGGAAGTGTACTGGGCTTAATTTGATTTGATTTATGAGTTAGAATTGTGGTTTGGTGAAGTATATAAAATACCCCCATATAATAAAAAATATCTCAAAATCAATGAGAATTTCTGAAATGCCAACAGGACTGACAACACTGAGACGGTAAATACTGACATTAAGTCAGAGGGATAAGTTCAATCACAGTTACAAAATGCACAGATAAAGCAGGATGCAGAGGAAGACAGATTACAGCAAACATTCCAGACCGTAAAATCCTACCATGTGGATCGGTGACAGGCTAAAATCTATTGTATTGCAGTTTAAACAGAAATGATAAGATTAAAGGGATATTAAAGACATTTAGAGTGTAATTTTTTGGCATGCATTTTGTTTATATGAATTTGCTCAAAACTGTGGAAGTGTAAAAGCAAGGACACTTCTTATATTGGTCACATGACAGCTTTCAAGGCTATCAGGCCTTTCTTAAAGACTAGGTGAAAATAAGGAAGAATTATCATTTGTCCATTGGTGGTGAGTTTTTATGATTATTAAGATTTTCACTGATTTGAAGAATTACTGTAATTTAAATGTTCTAAATATTATTTTGAATTTGTTAAAAGAATTTTTTTGGACATCCAAGTTGTCACTGACTTTGACAATGACAAGCCACAGATTGTACTCTAAGGTAAAGTTCTTCAAATACTTTAAGGACAGGCAATGTCACAAATCCTGTAGGAAGTCTTTGCAGGAAATTTAAGAATGACATTCTAAATATATTAAAAATGTTCTCATCTGGTTAGTGAAATGCTTACAAGGTGATTGGATTGGTTATTTATTTACATTTTATTTTACCTTCATCACTATATGGGGATTTAGAAATGCTGAAGGGCTCTTCAGTGAGACATTGCCAGTCCCTTCAGGTGGGTATGGGTAATACTGAAGTATGTAATTCTTATCAAAGAAAATTTGATTAACAAGGGAAACTCTCCTAAGAGTTACATTTACAATAAACGAAAGGAAAAAAGACTTAACTGCACAAGTCAGATAAAATAACAATGCGCAGACATGCCTAAGTTGAACAAAGAGAAAAAGCATTACCAAGAATGATTTACAAGGAACGTAAAGAAAAGTAACATAAAAAAGCATTTCTCCACTTCCCTGAGAAGGAGAAGGAAGAATGGACTTGGTCAAAGTTAAGAGAATCTAGAGTTAAGTAAAGAAACCAAATGGATTCAATTATTTTAGTGATAAACCAGAGAACTGCTTGCTCCCAGGGCTTTTCACAGGAAATGAAGGGGATATAAGGTCAGAGCTCATGTAGAAATACGAGGTAATGTATATCATGTAGCCAGTTTTTCATGCTCCAGCATTCTCAACTTTCTCAAATAGAAATTACTGCCCTCCCCTTTCCACACAAGTGGTGCTGACTCCAAAAGTAGTGAAGGAAGGGGGACTGTCATGGGGAATCACGTCCATTCATTTGAAAATCATATGCCCTCTCACTAGCACTACAATATACTGACTTTATAAGAAAAAATATAGGTCCTGTTAGTTTTCATAGGCTGGTAATGCCAAGAAATACGACAACTTGAGACCTCAAGTTAAATGTTTTCATGCCAGACAAATTTTGGCTAAGAATGTTTGACAAGGAAACAATCTTAAACATTTATTGTCATAAATATGGCCAACAATCTGTTGTCAACAAGAAAATTCACTTCTAAATGAAGCAAAGGCAGGCCCTGAGACTTACAGGCCAGCCTTCTTTTGAGTAACATCAAAACTAACATAAAACAGAGTTGAATAATCTAACAGTCACAGAAGGAATAAGTACCTCCGGAGACAGTACGAGAAAGAAAACCATGATGTGACTTCTGAACTATGAAAAAAATGTTCATGGTCTCGTAACTGCTTTGAAAAACAACCAGTGGATTTAAAAAGTTGTGAAAGGGAACAGGAAATCAGTTGATCTTCAGAGGCACAGGCAACACAGAAAACACGTGCTGGTGTGAGCACTATGTATTGGAATTAGGCCTGCTGCTGTTTAAATTTCCATAAAAACACTGAAAAGCGTTTTATAAATTACAGGATTAAATAACCTGTAGAGAAAAAATTGAGTGGGGCCTGAAGGCAAGGCCGATTCGCTAAAGAACTGGAACAGTCAAGAGTTTAAAAAACTAAAATTAAACACAATGGACTATGCCACTCACAGCTTGGGCAGACTTATGGACCTTGAATTTTTAGGTTCTTTAAAAATCAAGATATTATTGCAGCTCAGGGGTTAGTTTTGGTTGCTGACTCATAAAGGAAAGATGAAACCAGATAAAGAAGTCTCAAGCAATAGTGTGCAAGAAAGGCAGAGTTAGGACAACATTTATATAGGATCAGATGACCCATTGATATTCCTTCCAGGTCTTGCATATTATCCATGATAAACTCAGAGTTCAGGGTTAGGCAGCAGATTGTGGGATTAACGAAAGTAAAAAATATTAGGTTTGATTTTCACATTAGAAAGCAGAGGCCATAATTACATTAAATGTTGGCAAAAGTTAAACAGGTATCAAATCCCATTCTCCTGAATTCCATCGAATTCAATGTTGTCAACTTAGAGAGGCAGGGATAGTTCTACAATTATGTTCCTCTCAGTGTGCTAAGAAATGACAACATAAGCGAAAGTTCATTATTTAATGTTGCGTACGGAGGCCAGATACATGCCATCACAAAAAATGCGTACTTATGCAATGTGCAAAATGTTAAATGGCTCTTCTGGGACTCTTCAGGATATGAAAAAGGGAAGGTGGAGCTGCTGTTCCACGTGTAGAGAAGTGTCCACATTTTGTTCAGGCACAGCTTTCGGGTTTACCAAAGTGATGAATGAAAAAGCAAAAATCATCAGGTATAGTACTTTCTTATGTTGCAGGTCCAAATGATAATTACTGGGGGGAAAAAAAGGTTCAGAAGGTGATTTGTTTGAGGTAATCTGAGCCCCAGCAATCGTTAACAAGCTTCTTCATTCCAGAATATAAATGAGCGTTGAAAAAGAGAGAACAAATTAATCCCCCTGATCCGAGCAGTAAGCAAAATCCTGAATTGCGGGTCTAGTCCGGGATGAGAGCCTTGTTCAAGAGTCCGCGTTCTCTTCCAGCACTCCCTCCACGAACCCAAATCGCCTCTCCGTGGAGGAAAAGGAAGGAAGGTGCACATCCAGCTGTCGGCAGTTTTTTAAATTGTTGCTGTTGTTGTTTATTTCTGGGATAGTGCAGGTGCTGTCTTGTCATTTTTGTAGAGATCTCCTCCAATCTCAGAACACAGATACTCCGAATTCCTGCCACTCCCTTCTCCAGGAACCTACCTATGCAGCACTCACAGCCCCTGCCAGCTCTGGAAGCTGCAGAGATCCCGGCAGCCTGGGATGGGGATTGAATCCTATCACTGCATGGCAGCTAAACGGAACCACGACCACCGCACAGATCGGCTGACAACACACATTTCCAAAAAACCACCAGTACAAATTTTGACAAGCGTTGTCCAATCAACAGGCTTTCCTTTGAGTTTTTTTATTTGTTCTGCTATAAGGGAATATAATCAGCCACCTGCTTAACCGGCAGAGAGAGGGGGAGATGGTGCATGATATAAAGTGAATCTACAAGTAATAGCTGTGGGGGGAAACGGGCCTGTACGGAGAAGATCGCACTACGAAGGCACGTTCCAACTGGGTCGCCCGCAAAACGGACACACAACACCGGGTTATTTACACACAGAGCCCCCAGGACCACCATTTTTGCAGTCCCCACGCAAACCAATGGGATTCTCCCGGCCGTTTTGCAGCAACAGCTAGTTCAACAAAGCTCTGTGAAGAGGAAAAGAAGAAAGCTCCTCGCATCCTCTCCTGCCAGCCGAGGGCCCTGCCCTCCCGCCGCCCCGACCCCGGGGCCCTTTCGCCTTGACAGCCCGGAGACCCCGCACCCCGGGTCCCGAGCCGCAGCGCGGCCCCGACCCGGTCCCCGCGTCCCCGGCGGCCTCCCGGCGCCCCCGAGGGCGGAGACGGCCCCGGCAGGGGGAGGGGCGGCCCCGGCCCGCAGGCCCCCGGGGCGGCCGCACGCCCCCTCCCGGCCCCGCAGCTTTCCCGCCTTCCCCATTTGAACAGCTCCCGCCCGCCTTCCTTCGGCGGCCCGCTCCAGCCCCTTCCCGAGGGCGGACTGCGGCCGCTACTCCAGTCCCCGGCTCGGCCTCCGGGCTAGGCCGCACCGGGCCTGACGCGCCCCCGCGGCGGTGTCGCGGGCCCAAGCGGCGGGTGGCGGCGGGGCGGGGCCGCTGCCGCCTCGGGGAGGGGGCCCAGGCCGGCCTCGTGGGGGCTCCGCTCGCCGCTACCTTCACTCGGCTCGCCCGGATCCCGCCTCAGCGCCGCCGACCGCCGCCATCTTGGAGAAGGAGAGAAAAGCGCGAGCGGCCAGGGAGCCTCAGTCGAGCCCAGAGCGCAGGCTCCGGCTCGGGGAAGGGGAATCCCGCTCCTGACAGAGCGCCGAGCGCATCGAAAGAAGCGCGCTACTTGCCGAGCCCCGGAACTGGAGTTGATTGAGAATTTGCTGTGGGGCCAGGCTTGGGCTGGAAGCTTTATGAACATTGTATCATTTAATCCTCACTGCATCCCTGTGAGGTAGGTTTGGTCACATTTTACAGATGAGAAACAGGTTCAAAGAGGTTAGGTGACTTGCCCAACCGTACACAGGTAGTTGGAGGAGAAGGCAGATACTACTCCAAGTCTTCTGATTCTTAATGAAGTGCTCTTTCCTCAAGACTATGCCATTTCCTTCGAGATATTTTTGTACATAAATGCTCTTTCTGCGAAACCTAGATCATGCAGATTAATAGCAGCGGTGCTTATTTGGAATTTGGCATCTATGGGTGGTTGGCATATTTCGGATGACGTGGAAGGACATAGTTTTCTAACAATGCACTATAACATAATTTGCATGGTGAATCCTCTGCATTCCTCCTCACAAATTATTTGCATTTAAAGGTTGGAAACAGCCCTCAGACAAACGAAGAGATGCCACACACAGGAGAAAGAGGGGTTTTTCAGATTTGCTCTGGAGAATTTGGACTCATAGGTAGAAATTACTGTTTGAAGCTCTTGGTTCCATATGAAGACAAACTCATTTTTCTAGAGCAGTTCAGTTGTGTTTGGCTACCTTGTAAGTTAGTGAGCTCCCCATTACCAAAGGAATTCAAGAAGAAGCTAGTGCCTTCGTCACTGTAGAATGGAGAGGTTGGAGATCTAGATTGGTTTCTAGCATTGTGAACCCCATGAAACTCTGTGCAAAATTATGCTTTTGTGCACCTGTGTGTTTTTCTGGGGTTTAGATCCTATCAAAGATTAGGAATCCCTATTTTAGAGGGCTTTCCAGTCCAGAATTGGATGGGTGCTTTAAGGGGATGTAGTAACGCTGCTCATTTTGCAGACTGAGAAATTGAGACTAAGAGAAGCAGATGATTTGAACTCAGAACACACTGCTAGTTAGTGATCGGATAAGGATTAGAAACCAGATTATCGGACTCTTGGTTCAGTGCTCTTTTCACCATGTGAAGCTTTCTCTCCCTCTGCGCTGAGTGGAATATTGCATTCTGTTTAATCTGCTTTTATGGTTGTGAGATGCTGAGATGCTAAAAGAAGCATTCAAAGTTGCTGAATTTATTCCCAAAATGTAACTGCGAATAGTAAATAAAATGACCACCATGGTCCCATCCTGCTCACCAGAAAGATAGTCAATAAGTTTCACCAAAAGGTATGGGATTTCTCTCCTGGGACACCTTGCCTGACATTAGGCTTCCCTGCGAGGTATTGAAGAGCCGCGAGAACGTATTTCCACCCTGTTCTTCAGTATTGGTCGGGATGTTTTCAGTTGGGAGTGACATAATCCCAATTCAAAATAGCTCACTGGAAAAGGACAATTTATTGGCTGACATTACTGAAATGTCTCTGTGGGCGTGGCTGGATCCAGGGAGGGACCCAAGTCTCTCAACAGCGGTGCTTTCCTCTGAGTTGGCTTTATTCTCAGGTTCCAGGTGATGACTCCACCTCTGGGCTTGACCGTTCTTCCAACTACCGGTGTCGCTGGACAGGACGTTTCTTTTACCCATTTGTTTTGGGAGACTCTCATTGCCTGAATTGGATCAGCAATCAGTATGAGCAAGGGTGTGGGGCATGCTGATGGGCTAAATCAGGTCACAGGCTCACCCCCCAAAGCAGGATAAACGCAAGGAAAATCAGGGGTTATTGTCAGATGGGTAAAGGAGTGTTTGGTAGGGAAGGTGTCCACCCAGCTCTACCCCTGGCGTGGACCTGCCTGCCTCAGGGTCTTGTTTGTCCAGTCCCTTCTTTTATCCCACCTGAGGTTGGGCATATCAAGTTATTGCCCACCTTAACCTCCTGAAGACCTGAAGTCCATTGCTCCTCAGTCTGTTCCCTTCCTCCAGTCTTGTATCACTGTGTGTATGTTCATTCATTTAACACATACTGTTTGGAAACATGACATGGGTCAGGCACTGTCCTGGGTGTTCAGAAGAGAACAATGAACAAAACCGAGAGTCTTTTGAACCATGAGAGACGATGGACTCTGAAAAACAAACTGAGGGTTCTGGGGGGTGGGGCATGGGAAGATGGGTCAGCCTGGTGATGGGTATTAAAGAGGGCACGTTCTGCGTGGAGCACTGGGTGTTATGCACAAACAATGAATCATGGAACACTACATCAAAAACTAATGATGTAATGTATGGTGATTAACATAACAATACAAAATTAAAAAGAAACTGAGTCTTTGACACCCCTCCCCCCCCAGCTTACATTCTAATTGGGATGGGGGGGCAGAAAATAAATAAATAGGGACCATGTTAGGTGGTGATCAAAGGTGGAGAAAAATGCCAGGTAGGGTAAGGGATCCCAGGAAGGAGGGAGGTGGGGATTTCTATTAAAATGTGATCAGGGAGGCTCCTCTGATGGGGTGCACACCGGAGGCTGGAGGCTGAGGCTAGTGCCTCAGTCAGAAGTGGGCTGGTGGTGGGGGCTGGGAGGCCAAAGCCTCCTGGAACGGATGCAAGGCCTTCCTCTGAGCCTTGATGGAAATATATTCTCGACCGAGTATCCTGCCCTGGTTCTTTTGTTTCTGCAACTTGCAAAGGGAGAAAGGAGGATGGCTTGGTAGCCCCAGGTGGGGAGGGGCCTGGTCACAGTGGGCTTTGTGAGTAAGAACACCTTGTCCCGTGATGGCATCTGAGATGTGTGAAGATTGGGTGCTCGCTGGGCCTGGGGCTAGTCTCTGGCCCGCTGGACCCCAGTAAGCCGCCCAGCACATGGTAGTAACAGGTGGCCATCAAGTTGTGCTTGATTTGGATGTTTTCTTCTTCGGATTGTTTTCCTGTGCTTTGCCCTCTGCAGCTGTGTTTGGAGCAGCTTTGTTGGGTCAGGCCCAATGGATATGCACATGACAAGGCCCTTTTGGCTGGGAGTGGTGGGACCTAATTAAAACTACCACAAGCAACAGGAAGTTTATGGCTCATGTGAAAAAGCATTAAGAGTCAGAGAGAAGCTGGCTGTCTAGGCCTCCGGGTCCAGGGATTCAGATCCCTCCCTCCTAGCTTGTTCTCTTAAGTTGGCCATCCTCATGGGCCTGGAGTCATGGCTGCAGGTAGCCCAGGCTTCTGTGCTTACAATCTCCTGACCAGGGAGGGAAGAGGGCTTCCCCACACCCGCTCCATGGGGAGGAATCGCAGGGAGGAACGATTGGTTGCCTTGGGGTCACTGGTCATTCCGTGTTGTGATGGACCGTTCCTAGCAGAACCATTAAGTTGGAACCGGGGAAAGTTGATCCACAAAAGGATACAGGAATCTCTTCTGGGACAACAAATAGTAAACCCTCTGTGATGAGGGGTGCCTGGGTGGCTCAGTTGTTAGGCGGCTGCCTTCAGCTCAGGTCATGATCCCAGGGTCCTGTGATCGAGTCCCGTGTCTTGCTCCCTGCTCAGTGGGGAGCCTGCTTCTCTCCCTCTCCCTCTGCCTGCCGCTGCCTCTGCTCATGCTCTCTCTCTCTGTCTCTCTCTCTGTCAAATAAATAAAACCTTAAAAAAAATCCTCTGTGATGAGGCAGTGATGCTCTGTTCCTGCTTCTAAGCAGCCCCGATCTCGTGTGCAGCCTTGATTCGGCTCATCCCTTGATACCTGCCCCAGCCACACTGACCTTCTCCTGGTTCTCTAAGCATGCGGTGCCCTGTCGTGCATCCCATGCCATTGTGCACACATGTCCTTATGTGTAATGTGTCTCCCCCACTCCACGGCTTTTGCCATCTCGGCACCCAGAAAGCTCCTATGTATTCTTCAAGACATAGCTTGGATGCCCCCTCTCCAATCATGCTCTGTGTCCCCACACACCTGATTACCTGCACCTCCCACCCGGCACTGCGGTCATCCTTTGACATACGTCCTTTCCCTGTTCCTCAAGGGTAGGACCATATGGTAGGTGTTCAGTGAATCCTTTCGATTAAATGTTGAGTGAAGAGTGGGACAGACCATTTTTCCTGGGACTCTGGGCAACAGAGGTGAAAGCTGCTTGGGAGAGTTACAGAAGGTGTGACAGCATTGGGTTCGATTTGCCCACACCCTCGCTCATCTTCTGCAGCAGACGTCAGTGTGCAGACCTCAGGAATGGCCATGTAACTCCAGCCTGCTAATCCTAATCCACAGCTTGAGCTTTCCCGGGGCTGGATCAGGCTGTCTACTGCCCCTTCCATGCTTTACTGTGAGAACCAGGGATTCCCCCCTCCCCCTTGGTGTGTGCTGGCTGGGGGCTTCCCTGTCCTTTGGAGCCCCTCTGGGCTCCCTAGCCCCTGTGCTCCAAGAAAGAGCTGGTCTGTGTCTGTGGGGTATGGTTGGTGGGATAGGGTGGGAAGGCTTTCCTGGTGGAAGAAACTAGGTAAAAGGAGGCAGGGAGGCTCAGGGCCACATCATATCCTCAGAATGACAAGCAGTGGGGTCAGCAGTGGGAATGCTGGGGGAGGTTGGGGCCACCCGGAGAGTTTGTACTTCATCTGAAAGGGCACGGACCAGCACCCCACCTGGCTGTCTCTCTCCCCCACTGCACATTTCTAGCTGACGGCGGTGACCCTCTGTTTCTTCTTTCCTCCCCCCGCAACTCCTGCAGGAAAATAATTTTAGACTTACAAGTTCAAAGTACAAATATTCATGTCCCCACCTCCTGGATTAAACAAATGTTAACATTTTATATATATGTAATTTTTTAAAGATTATATATGTAAATTTTTAAAGATTTTATTTATTAATTTGAGAGAGAGAGAGAGAGAGAGAGAGCAAGAGTGAAAGAGCAGGGGCGGGGAGAAACAGACTCCTCACTGAGCAGGGATTCACACCATGGGGCTCGATCCCAGGACC